GGTTTTACCCAAAATAAGAGGGGCGGGGTTTCTAGAAACGCCACTGAGGACTGTGATGATGACATACCGGAGCTGAGAAGAAAGTCTGCAAGAGAGAGCAGTGGAGATGATGATGAGCCAGAAGACACAGAAGAGCCTGATCCAGTGGACAGTAGTAGGCAGCCGCGCAATAAGGGCAAGACGTTACTCTCGTTTCAAGAAAACAACAGTCATTCAAATGTCTGCGCCGACAGATAAACAAGGCAACGGATTGCGAGAAGGACGAATTCTACGAACAACTTCAGGTAAAAGTTGGTAAGTGCAACAGATCTAGACATGAGCGTGGTCATTGTTATGGGTGACCTGAACGCAAGTCTGGTACAATAACAAAGAAATGGAAGAGATAATGGACTGGGCAGCAGAAATAATAAGAGCGGTGAGCGACCGTGTGACCTACCCTGACGCAAAAACAAGAAATCAAACTGATCATATGATGATCACCAAAGATTGGAGGAGACCAGTAGAAGACACCAGGGTGTACCGCGGTGCAGATGTAGCCAGTGAACACTGTGTGGTTATAAAATTACAAAAACACCTAGATAGAGCAAAAGTCAAGGCAAGATTCGGCACACAGATGCTGGAAAATGAAATATGCAAGTAAGAATTTGACCTCGAACTGCGCAACAGATTTGATGCACTAGAGGGTGAAGAAAATATCAACCAAGAAAGTAAAATGGTGGAGAAAGTGTACACAGAAAATGCCAAAAAGTACTACATCGGTTGAAAAAGAACGCCTGCAATACAACAGACCAACGGCAGAAAAATCCACGACAAAGGACATCAGACAGAGCAAAAGGCAAGTTACGACTAGAGTACATGCTGAAAGACAGAGAGTAAAAACACAGAGCAAAAAGGACAAGAGAGTCTGACTAGAACAGATAGGGGCGAAGCAGAAAAATCACCTGGAAAAGGAAGAACCAGAGAACTGTACCAAGCCGCTAAGAAAATCATAAACAAGAAGCACCAACAAGTGGAAGCAGTCAAGAACAAGAATTTCAGTGTCCACAATTAGTACAGCAGTGCTAAACCACTTCGACACTTAAATAAAGTGATTTATTTATTTATTTAAATATTCATTTATTTATTTATTTATTTATTTAAGAATGGTGGAATACTATTAAAACACCAGTATGCTTGACTTGAAAGATGATATGGGCTGAACATTTTGAGAAGATACTAGCCAGATTACAACAAAATGCAGAACACAAAACGCACTGAGATGAAGGTATCAAGTGAATTGTTGAAGGAAAAGCAAATTGTTATTAGCTTTCAAGCCATGTTTCCAAAACGCAAAACAAAATTGACGACGTCTGCTTGACGTTTTCAACTGGTAATCAAAACATTGTGCATGAGTAACTCGTTATAACACGGTGGCATATCAGGCGAATTTGGCCTCACAACGAGTATTTTGGCTCCAGTACGTCTCGCCAAAATACTCATGGTGAGACCAAACAACCCTGATATATCACCGGAGCGTTACAAAATAAGGACGATTGGATATTTTACGGTATTCGAATTTGGCTAAGTGACCATAATATCGTAGCCATATCAGAGCGGTAACTTGATATCGAACTGATATCAGAAAGAAGACAAGGCTTCTAAATCGCTCATTTCGAATTTGGGCAGGATAAAAAGTAATCAGTCCGAAGCAATGATATGAGCTGTTATTTGAGATCAATCGTGCTATTCCTCCAATCAGAAGCAAAATCGACTAATTTTGCTAAATAATTTGTAAGAGGTTAATTTCTGCTTTCCTGATTAAGTTCCAGATCCCGTTGCTTTGTAATGAAAGACAGGACCCAAGTCGGTAAAAGAAAATGCTGTTGCTTAAGCAGTTCCAGTAAAGTGTAGATAGGTTCGTCCAGCAATATAGAGCTTTTCTATGCTATCAATTTTAGGTTGCTTCAAAAGCGTTTTCGTAAGACATTATGTTACGGCAGTGAGAAAGAGGTCAATGACCTCATATCAGACTTGTTTGGTCTTACCACGACTATTTTGGTTTGAGCACTTCTCGCCAAAATACTCACACTGAGACCAAACAATTCCCTGATATGTCACCGCAGCATTACAAAATAAGGACGATTAGATATTTTACGGTATTTAAATTTGGTTAAGTGACTGTGATATCGTAGCCATATCAGATCAGTGACTTGATATCGCACAATATTAGGAAAGTAGAAACGGCTTCTGATTAGCTCATTTCGAATTTGGGCACGATAAGGAGAAATCAGTCCGAAGCAATGATATGAGCTGTTATTTGAGATCAACCGTGTTATTCCTCCAATCTAAAGCAAAATTGACTAATGTTTTTCATTGTTTTGTAAGGCGGTTAATTTCTGCTTTCCTGATTAAGTTCCAGATCCCGTTGCTTTGTATCCTCTCGATGGCGCTCATGGTACCAAGGAAATCAAAAACCGGGTCGGAAAGGGCGTTGCCAGTGGTGTTCACACCGCCCCGGGACCAGATGGAAAACCTGATGGCTCGTATGAATTCTCTGGAACTGTTAACAGCTACATCGAGTTTCCGAACGGTGGTGGACTAGATGTAAAAAACTCGATGACAATGCTCTGCTGGTTGTACCCAGGTGGTCAAGATGGCCCTCTTTTCAACTATAGGAAAGGTGGAAGTTGGGGAGTGCATTTGTGGGTGGTGAGTGGTCAACTTTTTGTTCGCTTCACCAAACGAGACTACTCATCTACCCAAGCCTTGCTTCACACTCATCTAAAACCAGAGGATGGATGGAAATTTGTGGGCGCCTCCTATGACAAAGCTAGTGGCCATGCAAAATTGTGGGTGGATGGAAAAGTGGTTCAAACGTTAAATATTGGCGCGAATCTCCAACTAGGCACGCAGGACAGCGTGAGAATGGGAGTGAGAATTGGCGATCGCAGGTACTTCAAAGGAAGGATCGCCCAAATGCAGGTCTACAATGTTGCCTTGACCCAGAAACAAATACAAGCCATAAAAGACAGGACCCAAGTCGGTAAAAATGCTGTTGCTTAAGTAGTTCCAGTAAACTGTAGATAGGTTCGTCCAGCGATATAGAGCTTCTCTATGCTATCAATTTTAGGTTGCTTCAAAAGTGTATTTGTGAGACATTATGTTAGGGCAGTGAGAAAGCGGTAAATGACCTCATATCAGGCTTGTTTGGTCTCACCACGACTATTGTGGCTTGAGCACGTCTCGCCAAAATACTCACACTGAGACCAAACAATTCCCTGATATGTCACCGCACCATTACAACATAAGGACGATTAGATATTTTATGGTATTTAAATTTGGATATATGACTATGATATCGTAGCCATATCAGATCAGTGACTTGATATCGCACAATATCAGGAAAGTAGACACGGCTTCTGATTCGCTCATTTCGAATTTGGGCACGATAAGGAGAAATCAGTCCGAAGCATTGATATGAGCTGTTATTTGAGATCAACGGTGTTATTCCTCCAATCGAAAGCAAAATTGACTACTGTTTTTCAATGTTTTGTAAGAGAGTTAATTTCTGCTTTCCTGATTAAGTTCCAGATCCCGTTGCTTTGTATCCTCTCGATGGCGCTCATGGTACCAAGGAAATCAAAAACCGGGTCGGAAAGGGCGTTGCCAGTGGTGTTCACACCGCCCCGGGACCAGATGGAAAACCTGATGGCTCGTATGAATTCTCTGGAACTGTTAACAGCTACATCGAGTTTCCGAACGGTGGTGGACTAGATGTAAAAAACTCGATGACAATGCTCTGCTGGTTGTACCCAGGTGGTCAAGATGGCCCTCTTTTCAACTATAGGAAAGGTGGAAGTTGGGGAGTGCATTTGTGGGTGGTGAGTGGTCAACTTTTTGTTCGCTTCACCAAACGAGACTACTCATCTACCCAAGCCTTGCTTCACACTCATCTAAAACCAGAGGATGGATGGAAATTTGTGGGCGCCTCCTATGACAAAGCTAGTGGCCATGCAAAATTGTGGGTGGATGGAAAAGTGGTTCAAACGTTAAATATTGGCGCGAATCTCCAACTAGGCACGCAGGACAGCGTGAGAATGGGAGTGAGAATTGGCGATCGCAGGTACTTCAAAGGAAGGATCGCCCAAATGCAGGTCTACAATGTTGCCTTGACCCAGAAACAAATACAAGCCATAAAAGACAGGACCCAAGTCGGTAAAAATGCTGTTGCTTAAGTAGTTCCAGTAAACTGTAGATAGGTTCGTCCAGCGATATAGAGCTTCTCTATGCTATCAATTTTAGGTTGCTTCAAAAGTGTATTTGTGAGACATTATGTTAGGGCAGTGAGAAAGCGGTAAATGACCTCATATCAGGCTTGTTTGGTCTCACCACGACTATTGTGGCTTGAGCACGTCTCGCCAAAATACTCACACTGAGACCAAACAATTCCCTGATATGTCACCGCACCATTACAACATAAGGACGATTAGATATTTTATGGTATTTAAATTTGGATATATGACTATGATATCGTAGCCATATCAGATCAGTGACTTGATATCGCACAATATCAGGAAAGTAGACACGGCTTCTGATTCGCTCATTTCGAATTTGGGCACGATAAGGAGAAATCAGTCCGAAGCATTGATATGAGCTGTTATTTGAGATCAACGGTGTTATTCCTCCAATCGAAAGCAAAATTGACTACTGTTTTTCAATGTTTTGTAAGAGAGTTAATTTCTGCTTTCCTGATTAAGTTCCAGATCCCGTTGCTTTGTATCCTCTCGATGGCGCTCATGGTACCAAGGAAATCAAAAACCGGGTCGGAAAGGGCGTTGCCAGTGGTGTTCACACCGCCCCGGGACCAGATGGAAAACCTGATGGCTCGTATGAATTCTCTGGAACTGTTAACAGCTACATCGAGTTTCCGAACGGTGGTGGACTAGATGTAAAAAACTCGATGACAATGCTCTGCTGGTTGTACCCAGGTGGTCAAGATGGCCCTCTTTTCAACTATAGGAAAGGTGGAAGTTGGGGAGTGCATTTGTGGGTGGTGAGTGGTCAACTTTTTGTTCGCTTCACCAAACGAGACTACTCATCTACCCAAGCCTTGCTTCACACTCATCTAAAACCAGAGGATGGATGGAAATTTGTGGGCGCCTCCTATGACAAAGCTAGTGGCCATGCAAAATTGTGGGTGGATGGAAAAGTGGTTCAAACGTTAAATATTGGCGCGAATCTCCAACTAGGCACGCAGGACAGCGTGAGAATGGGAGTGAGAATTGGCGATCGCAGGTACTTCAAAGGAAGGATCGCCCAAATGCAGGTCTACAATGTTGCCTTGACCCAGAAACAAATACAAGCCATAAAAGACAGGACCCAAGTCGGTAAAAATGCTGTTGCTTAAGTAGTTCCAGTAAACTGTAGATAGGTTCGTCCAGCGATATAGAGCTTCTCTATGCTATCAATTTTAGGTTGCTTCAAAAGTGTATTTGTGAGACATTATGTTAGGGCAGTGAGAAAGCGGTAAATGACCTCATATCAGGCTTGTTTGGTCTCACCACGACTATTGTGGCTTGAGCACGTCTCGCCAAAATACTCACACTGAGACCAAACAATTCCCTGATATGTCACCGCACCATTACAACATAAGGACGATTAGATATTTTATGGTATTTAAATTTGGATATATGACTATGATATCGTAGCCATATCAGATCAGTGACTTGATATCGCACAATATCAGGAAAGTAGACACGGCTTCTGATTCGCTCATTTCGAATTTGGGCACGATAAGGAGAAATCAGTCCGAAGCATTGATATGAGCTGTTATTTGAGATCAACGGTGTTATTCCTCCAATCGAAAGCAAAATTGACTACTGTTTTTCAATGTTTTGTAAGAGAGTTAATTTCTGCTTTCCTGATTAAGTTCCAGATCCCGTTGCTTTGTATCCTCTCGATGGCGCTCATGGTACCAAGGAAATCAAAAACCGGGTCGGAAAGGGCGTTGCCAGTGGTGTTCACACCGCCCCGGGACCAGATGGAAAACCTGATGGCTCGTATGAATTCTCTGGAACTGTTAACAGCTACATCGAGTTTCCGAACGGTGGTGGACTAGATGTAAAAAACTCGATGACAATGCTCTGCTGGTTGTACCCAGGTGGTCAAGATGGCCCTCTTTTCAACTATAGGAAAGGTGGAAGTTGGGGAGTGCATTTGTGGGTGGTGAGTGGTCAACTTTTTGTTCGCTTCACCAAACGAGACTACTCATCTACCCAAGCCTTGCTTCACACTCATCTAAAACCAGAGGATGGATGGAAATTTGTGGGCGCCTCCTATGACAAAGCTAGTGGCCATGCAAAATTGTGGGTGGATGGAAAAGTGGTTCAAACGTTAAATATTGGCGCGAATCTCCAACTAGGCACGCAGGACAGCGTGAGAATGGGAGTGAGAATTGGCGATCGCAGGTACTTCAAAGGAAGGATCGCCCAAATGCAGGTCTACAATGTTGCCTTGACCCAGAAACAAATACAAGCCATAAAAGACAGGACCCAAGTCGGTAAAAATGCTGTTGCTTAAGTAGTTCCAGTAAACTGTAGATAGGTTCGTCCAGCGATATAGAGCTTCTCTATGCTATCAATTTTAGGTTGCTTCAAAAGTGTATTTGTGAGACATTATGTTAGGGCAGTGAGAAAGCGGTAAATGACCTCATATCAGGCTTGTTTGGTCTCACCACGACTATTGTGGCTTGAGCACGTCTCGCCAAAATACTCACACTGAGACCAAACAATTCCCTGATATGTCACCGCACCATTACAACATAAGGACGATTAGATATTTTATGGTATTTAAATTTGGATATATGACTATGATATCGTAGCCATATCAGATCAGTGACTTGATATCGCACAATATCAGGAAAGTAGACACGGCTTCTGATTCGCTCATTTCGAATTTGGGCACGATAAGGAGAAATCAGTCCGAAGCATTGATATGAGCTGTTATTTGAGATCAACGGTGTTATTCCTCCAATCGAAAGCAAAATTGACTACTGTTTTTCAATGTTTTGTAAGAGAGTTAATTTCTGCTTTCCTGATTAAGTTCCAGATCCCGTTGCTTTGTATCCTCTCGATGGCGCTCATGGTACCAAGGAAATCAAAAACCGGGTCGGAAAGGGCGTTGCCAGTGGTGTTCACACCGCCCCGGGACCAGATGGAAAACCTGATGGCTCGTATGAATTCTCTGGAACTGTTAACAGCTACATCGAGTTTCCGAACGGTGGTGGACTAGATGTAAAAAACTCGATGACAATGCTCTGCTGGTTGTACCCAGGTGGTCAAGATGGCCCTCTTTTCAACTATAGGAAAGGTGGAAGTTGGGGAGTGCATTTGTGGGTGGTGAGTGGTCAACTTTTTGTTCGCTTCACCAAACGAGACTACTCATCTACCCAAGCCTTGCTTCACACTCATCTAAAACCAGAGGATGGATGGAAATTTGTGGGCGCCTCCTATGACAAAGCTAGTGGCCATGCAAAATTGTGGGTGGATGGAAAAGTGGTTCAAACGTTAAATATTGGCGCGAATCTCCAACTAGGCACGCAGGACAGCGTGAGAATGGGAGTGAGAATTGGCGATCGCAGGTACTTCAAAGGAAGGATCGCCCAAATGCAGGTCTACAATGTTGCCTTGACCCAGAAACAAATACAAGCCATAAAAGACAGGACCCAAGTCGGTAAAAATGCTGTTGCTTAAGTAGTTCCAGTAAACTGTAGATAGGTTCGTCCAGCGATATAGAGCTTCTCTATGCTATCAATTTTAGGTTGCTTCAAAAGTGTATTTGTGAGACATTATGTTAGGGCAGTGAGAAAGCGGTAAATGACCTCATATCAGGCTTGTTTGGTCTCACCACGACTATTGTGGCTTGAGCACGTCTCGCCAAAATACTCACACTGAGACCAAACAATTCCCTGATATGTCACCGCACCATTACAACATAAGGACGATTAGATATTTTATGGTATTTAAATTTGGATATATGACTATGATATCGTAGCCATATCAGATCAGTGACTTGATATCGCACAATATCAGGAAAGTAGACACGGCTTCTGATTCGCTCATTTCGAATTTGGGCACGATAAGGAGAAATCAGTCCGAAGCATTGATATGAGCTGTTATTTGAGATCAACGGTGTTATTCCTCCAATCGAAAGCAAAATTGACTACTGTTTTTCAATGTTTTGTAAGAGAGTTAATTTCTGCTTTCCTGATTAAGTTCCAGATCCCGTTGCTTTGTATCCTCTCGATGGCGCTCATGGTACCAAGGAAATCAAAAACCGGGTCGGAAAGGGCGTTGCCAGTGGTGTTCACACCGCCCCGGGACCAGATGGAAAACCTGATGGCTCGTATGAATTCTCTGGAACTGTTAACAGCTACATCGAGTTTCCGAACGGTGGTGGACTAGATGTAAAAAACTCGATGACAATGCTCTGCTGGTTGTACCCAGGTGGTCAAGATGGCCCTCTTTTCAACTATAGGAAAGGTGGAAGTTGGGGAGTGCATTTGTGGGTGGTGAGTGGTCAACTTTTTGTTCGCTTCACCAAACGAGACTACTCATCTACCCAAGCCTTGCTTCACACTCATCTAAAACCAGAGGATGGATGGAAATTTGTGGGCGCCTCCTATGACAAAGCTAGTGGCCATGCAAAATTGTGGGTGGATGGAAAAGTGGTTCAAACGTTAAATATTGGCGCGAATCTCCAACTAGGCACGCAGGACAGCGTGAGAATGGGAGTGAGAATTGGCGATCGCAGGTACTTCAAAGGAAGGATCGCCCAAATGCAGGTCTACAATGTTGCCTTGACCCAGAAACAAATACAAGCCATAAAAGACAGGACCCAAGTCGGTAAAAATGCTGTTGCTTAAGTAGTTCCAGTAAACTGTAGATAGGTTCGTCCAGCGATATAGAGCTTCTCTATGCTATCAATTTTAGGTTGCTTCAAAAGTGTATTTGTGAGACATTATGTTAGGGCAGTGAGAAAGCGGTAAATGACCTCATATCAGGCTTGTTTGGTCTCACCACGACTATTGTGGCTTGAGCACGTCTCGCCAAAATACTCACACTGAGACCAAACAATTCCCTGATATGTCACCGCACCATTACAACATAAGGACGATTAGATATTTTATGGTATTTAAATTTGGATATATGACTATGATATCGTAGCCATATCAGATCAGTGACTTGATATCGCACAATATCAGGAAAGTAGACACGGCTTCTGATTCGCTCATTTCGAATTTGGGCACGATAAGGAGAAATCAGTCCGAAGCATTGATATGAGCTGTTATTTGAGATCAACGGTGTTATTCCTCCAATCGAAAGCAAAATTGACTACTGTTTTTCAATGTTTTGTAAGAGAGTTAATTTCTGCTTTCCTGATTAAGTTCCAGATCCCGTTGCTTTGTATCCTCTCGATGGCGCTCATGGTACCAAGGAAATCAAAAACCGGGTCGGAAAGGGCGTTGCCAGTGGTGTTCACACCGCCCCGGGACCAGATGGAAAACCTGATGGCTCGTATGAATTCTCTGGAACTGTTAACAGCTACATCGAGTTTCCGAACGGTGGTGGACTAGATGTAAAAAACTCGATGACAATGCTCTGCTGGTTGTACCCAGGTGGTCAAGATGGCCCTCTTTTCAACTATAGGAAAGGTGGAAGTTGGGGAGTGCATTTGTGGGTGGTGAGTGGTCAACTTTTTGTTCGCTTCACCAAACGAGACTACTCRTCTACCCAAGCCTTGCTTCACACTCATCTAAAACCAGAGGATGGATGGAAATTTGTGGGCGCCTCCTATGACAAAGCTAGTGGCCATGCAAAATTGTGGGTGGATGGAAAAGTGGTTCAAACGTTAAATATTGGCGCGAATCTCCAACTAGGCACGCAGGACAGCGTGAGAATGGGAGTGAGAATTGGCGATCGCAGGTACTTCAAAGGAAGGATCGCCCAAATGCAGGTCTACAATGTTGCCTTGACCCAGAAACAAATACAAGCCATAAAAGACAGGACCCAAGTCGGTAAAAAAAAAAAATGCTGTTACTTAAGCAGTTCCAGTAAAGTGTAGATAGGTTCGTCCAGCAATATAGAGCTTTTCTATGCTATCAATTTTAGGTTGCTTCATAAGCGTATTTGTTAGAGATTATTTTAGGGCAGTGAGAAAGCGGTAAATGACCTCTTCAATTTATATGGATCTGAAAAATAAGCCATTCCGGTCCCGGATGTCGTTTCGCATAAATTTTACGAGTGATGTCTTTACCAGTAAATCATTTGGGTCTATATGATAAGTAATGATTCATTTGAGTTACTTATCTCTTTATCTTGACGAAAAAGTTAATCAGTCTTTAACCAATCTCGATGAGAACTGGGCGAAACATTAAAGAAACCTATACGGGGAAATTGTCGGCACTTTTGGTCAAAACAGTGTCACGGCAACTTTCTCGAACACAAAAATGCAATGGGATGAATACATGAAGTTAATTGTTAATTGTTGAAGGTAGAGCAAATTGTTATTGGCTTTGAATCGATTTTTTCGAAAACGCGACAACAGAACAGTGACAAAGTCTGCCTGATGTTTTGAACTTGACATCAACAAAAAGTGCATGTGTAATTCGTTATAACAAGGCGGCATATCGTGCGAGTTTGGTCTCACCATGAGTATTTTAACTAGAGTATAGATATTTCTTAAATTTACTGGCGATTGGTTAACAATAATGGTTTTTGTTAATTTCTATACAGTAGCAGATTGTCCAGCTCTCACAGTCGGTCGCCTTGTCAAAACATCACCTAACAATTGCGTGACGTCACAGATGAAAATGAGCGCGAAGTGCTCGTTTTCCTGCCCACAGGGATACCAGCTACAAGGTCCATCTTATAAGCAATGTGGGGCAACTGGTCAGTGGACGGACAGTGCTAAGTCCCTCTCATGCAGCGGTAAGCTCTACTGAGTATGTATACATCTCTCTTACATCATTCTTTTCCTCTGGGCTGCCCATGTAACACCATCGAGAAGTTAATCATATCTAGTCATTAGAAACCAGATCAGAAACTTTATTATAGAATTACACAACGAGCCTTTCTTTCAGATACTGACGAGTGTGTCAAATGGCGGCTGAAGTCGCAAGTATGACAATGCTGCTCCCTTAATAGTATTGCCTTCAAGTAAATCCTACTGCATATGAAAAAATCGCCCTTTATGGATTTCACTTATAGACAGGAGAACTATCTTAGAACAACGCTTTCAGTCTCGATGATGGATCAACGACAGACATTTAACACTTAATAACTGGTCCCTTGGGAACAGTGAATTTTGCATGTTTTTTTTTTTTTTTTTTCAGATACTGACGAGTGCTCTGTGTCAAATGGCGGCTGCAGTGATAGGTGTGTTAATACTACAGGAGGATACAAATGTGAATGTCCAGACCTGGAACTGAGCTTAGCATTGGATAACATGACATGTCATGGTAAGTATCAATTAAACTACAGTTACACGTCAACGCATGCCGTGCTGAAATTTCTGCAATTTTAAGTCCCTAATTGACATGAGTTCACAGGTAGTACTATATATGTTCGTTTTTTTTTAAAGCCAAAGCAGTGTGTAACTTGTTTTCTATCATTTCAGCTCCAGGTGTTGATGTTCAGTGCAACAGGGACAACCTGACAATCATCATTCACAAGTCCCTCCTCCGTGGTATTGACCGTGAGCACCTTCGACTCCTGGACACCACATGCAAAGCTAAAGAAACAAGCGCTAACTTCTCTCTAACCACACCGCTGACTGGTTGTAACACAACACGCAGGCAAACAGCTACAGCTATTGTTTACTCCAACACAGTCTTGGAAATCCCTGTGGCTGCTGAGGATGTCATAACACGCGT